TTCTTTGCGTGACAATCTTTAAAACAGTCTTCGCTGACATAAATGTGAGCTATTTTTACAGCCTTACAATTAGATTTTCTTTTGTTCTTTGATCCGCTCTTCTTATGTTCTGCTGGGCTTCTGGTACAAGTCATGTTGTATTTTATACCTGTGGGTCTTTCAGCTCCGTATCCTAGATTTTATGGTGAAACAAGGGTACAACCCCCCCCCCCCCAGAGTTGTCCCTGAATTTTATATTCCACCTTTCCATCCAAACTGGACCATCAAGGTTGTTCACAAGCAGTAAGACCACTTGTACAAAGAAATGGAAAATCAGCAAGCAGCCCTGTAGAACCAACTGTTACGAGTCGTCTGCTAACTGAAATGTTCTTTCCCTGCTTTGTGCCACAGAGCTACCCATCACACTCCTCAGCAGACATCAATTCCAGTCTTCCTCCAATGTCCACCTTCCATCGCAGTGGTACAACCCATTACAGTGCTTCTTCCTGTACACCTCCTGCAAATGGAACAGAAAGTATAATGGGTGAGTTGAAGGCTTCTTCCTAAGTTGAAGAATGCAAGTCTTCTCAGTTTCTCCTCATCCATTTTCTGGGGAAGAGAGCTTGTGGAGCTCATCAGACATTATAGAAGAAAACTTTCCTTTTCATGTAGTCACAGATATCACAAATTAAAGAGGGTATTTGGTTAAAGTCCTTGCTGTACTGACTAGAAATTCTAGTTAACAAGAGTATAGAATTTGAATTTTTTTCTGTGAATAATCCAAATCCATTTATTTGCCTAGTCTGATTTTGCTCTTCAAGAAAGTAAGCTTGTATTATTAAATTTCATACTTGGTTGCAGTCTCAAAGTTACTTGCACTCCGGAAAAGGACAGAAACTTGAACAGGCCATAATTATTAACTGTTGATATCCTAAGAGAAAACTGCGGACAAAGCAAAAGATAATTGTCTGCGTAGATATTATAAGGGAGGCAGGCTGGTGTAGTGGATAAGGTGCCAGGCTAGAAATTGGGAGACCATGAATTCTAGTCCTGTCTTAGACATGAAGCCAGCTGGGTGACCTTGGGCCAGTCCCTCTCTCTCACCCCTAGGAAGAAGAAGGCAAGGGCAAACCACTTTCAAAAATATTGCCAAGATAAATGCAGGGACTTGTCCAGGCAATAGCCAGGAGTCAACACTGACTCAAAGGTATTTAAAAAAAAAAAAAAAAACCTCAGAAGATATTAACTTAAAGTGATGCTTCAATCTATGCAAAGTATTTTCTGTGTGTTTTCAAAGATTCAGAGCGTTTAAGCAGCCACTTACTAAGAAAGATTTAATGTAATGTAGCATATGCTAAAGATTAGTCCAGAAGATCTGCCTCATTCATGTATTAATCCCACTTTCTACTCTCACTTTAAATGACATTTTTGAATTGCAAGATACATAGCAGTATGTGGCTTTTTTAGTGGGAACATGATGTGCGCCTTCCCTTGAGGCCTTGGTTTTACTGTGATTTTATTATTGGAACAGTCACATAATACTGCACTTAATTTTTTTACTAGTGTGTTAAGCTTCCAGTGCAGTGGGGTGCTAAACTGTCATATGGCACAAGAGGGACATGAATTTTATCCTGCTGTGTCAGTACGTCTTATCTTAAGAAAATATCAAATTGGCCCAAGTTTTCTATTTCCTGAATTTACTTGTTGCTTCCATTCAAGTTAGAGACTGGTGTACAGGCTAGATCTTGCATTTATTAACTGCACTGTAAGAACTCTTTTTTTTTTTTTTTGGCCTATATAGCTAGCTCTAGATTGCAAGACCATTATTTTCCTGCCAGCGAAGACTGCGCACGTATAGGACAATTTTTATGTAACCTTGCTATATACAAAAGATTTCATACATTATTAAAAGGGCATCCAGAAACAAATGCATTAATGCAGATGATTGTTTATACATTTTGCTAGAAATATGGGGGATTTTAATTATTGTATTATCACCATTATAATTTCACTATTTTCATGAAAATAGTTGCATTTAACATTCTGGTATAGACTTTTTTTTTAAAATGTTTAAAAGGGTAGGATACATTGTTAGCTTTCTCATGCTGTGGGTCTGTATGATGTTTACTTGAGTTGGACAGAACAGAGGTCTTGAGGTTACACCATTAGTTCATCAAGATAGTCTTCCAGTTGAGTTCTGTTCCTGATGAGTTCATAGACAAGTGCATGTCGTTTTCTTGACCGCACTGCAGTGGCATTATGTGTGAATCACTATGGCTTTTGGGATCACCCAAGGAGGGTTTGAATTATCTTATGCAAGCCCATCTGTTACCTTAGCATGTTACCTGAAGCGGGCTGTGGGCTTTATTTATTTACTTATTAAATTACATCCCATCTTTTGTACTGGAACTCAAGGCAATGCTCCAACCTCATATTTTTTTCCACACAACAGCAACTCTGTAAAGTCAGATATTCCCAGTGAGAGATTATTCCAGGTTTTCAGAATGGCTAGTTTTGGGGATTTCGATCCAAGTTGTAAGCAGGTATGGAGATGGCTTTGAAGAAGGAATTCAAAAATTGTTGTGCAAACATCAGCTTAGCCCACATAGACAGGAGGGGGTGAGGAAGAAGAAACTCAAGATTGTCCTGCTTGGATTCTCTTTAGTATAAGAAGGGGCAGAGAAAATCTCTGTTGGGCTTTCAAGATTCTGTTATTTCACCTTCTAATAATATTGTTCCAACAATTCATGTGGTCTTGGTTTCCTGACCTTATCTCCTTGAAGGGCTGACACAAGACAGTCTGGCTTCCTCGGTAGGATTAAAGATAGAGTAATGGCAATGAGTAAGTCTTTACTTTGAGGTGGACACTATATATAGGATTGTGTTGATTTTAGTCTTCCATTTCTATACATCTGGAGGCAGTTGAATAAAACCCTATGTTCTCTCATTCAAGGAAAAAGTGAATGGCAAAATAAAACGTCTAAGATCACGTGCAGTTCCATTCATGTAAAATGCTAGGCAAATACTGTGCAAAGCCCACTGCCCTGTATCTTACTCACAACAGAGAGAAGACTGTATCAAAATAGCTTGCTACAAAAACAACATACTTTGAACATGAAATATAAGAGGTATGTTTGAGATGTATGAAATCCGCCATAATTAATAACAGTAATGCTAATTAAGATTAGTATAACTCACCATTAAACTGCAGTTGAATTATGGGTATGGGTACAGTGTATGGAAAACAGATTTATTTTCTTGTCTTCATGTGTTTTTCGTTTTGTTTTGTTTTGTTTTTGGGTTTGTTTTTCAGCAAACAGAGGAAGCGGAGCAGCAGGAAGTTCACAGACAGGCGATGCGCTGGGAAAAGCACTTGCCTCTGTAAGAAAGTATTTGCTTCGGATGATTTGAATAGCATGAACTTGGATTGGAATCAATAACCAAATACATACGAATCTATCATTGCCAGTTAAAATAATTTAGAATAAAAGCAGTGTTAAAGTTGTATATATAGCTCTCTGGAAAATCTGGATAATTCAGGACAAATTCTTAATTGCAGGCTGTGCTTTACATTTTCCATTCACTTGGAAATTGTAAGAAGCTTATGTTATATGATTCAATAGCCAGGTCTGTTCTGTGGCAGTCCTGAGTAGGATTTTCCTTGTCACATTTGAAGCCTAAACCAGATTTAAACCAATTTCACTTACGTGTTTTCATCCAAAGAATACTGGAAGTTTAGATTGTGTAAGGATGCTGAACATTTTGGTTCAGATGCCTATTTTACATCATAGAATTAGACTGTAAAGTTCTTTGGGACAAAGCCATGAACATAATTAATTTGATAGAATAGATAGATCCTTGAAGTTCAAATTGCTATCAGTTTATCTTACTTCAACTGTGTCTTTCAAATCTTGCTTTAGCAAAGGGGAATAAGTCTCACTGAGATGGGATGTGGTTTTAAGTTTTGGATTTTCCTTTCTAGCCTTAGAGGCCTTTTGGCAATTCCCAAGTTTTGTGGAACCTGCTATTCTATGCATAGTTCCTCAGAGATGTAGATATAAGATCCACCCATGTGGGCACGGGCCAAGCCTATGAATCTTTTCCACAGAATTACCACTTCCTGGTGGGGTGGTGAATCTGTAATCAGAAACTGTGTCATCATTCCCAGTTCACATCTTTCAGTAATTTGAATGATATATGATCTGCTTAGGCACTACATATGGGAAAGTCAGGGTAATGATCAAAGGGCCTCTCAATCTGTTTTGCTGAAGTGATTGATGTTTAAAAGTCAGAATTGACTTCCAAATGCCACCCATTCTATTTATTCCCCATCTCGAATTTGGATAAGAATCCATTAAGTATATATACAAAGCATTTCTACAAATTAAAACTTACACTGACTTTTAAATGAACTCTCACTGTAATGTATTTTCTGGGCAGAGTGGGTTCCACTGAGTTCTCATGAGAATTGATGTTTTCCATGTCCAGCTAACATATGCTACAAAGACAAAAATTAGCACAATTCCCATATAATGGATACAATACAAAATCTACTTTAACTGGTGCCTGGAGGCATTGATTAACTGGGAGATGATCAAGGGGTTAATTAATTTAATTGTCTATGCAGAACCCTAAGGAAAAGTTCACAAGCTCAGCTTAAATAGTGGCCAATATGAGTTCCCAGCATGTGTCTGCTTTGATAATTTGACAAGATAAGAGTCTAATGATGTTTATGATCTCTAATCATGTCCCAAATGATCACAGAAGTTTTATCTATTCAGGATATTGAGTGATATGTTGGGAATCTTACCTGAAAATTATAATATACCTGCTCAGCCATATATACAGATCTGCATCACCAGTCAAGACTATCCTTCTATCCTCTTATTTTGTAGAGCTTGCTGTATTAAGTATTTTTCACTACAGTATGCTATATTTCAATATTTTCCTCTCCAAATAATTTAAGATTTTTAGCTTAAATTGGAGTAATTTTCTGATTTTTCCTGTATTTACATGAACAGTGTACACAAAATACATTTTCAGTATTGTAGAACATATAGAACCTACTAAGATGATTAAAAATAAGGGGTAAAAAAACTCCCATGAGCTATCCTTCATCACAACTGTCTTATTTCTTCATTATGTTTTTTGTCATGCTGCTTTCAGATTCTTCATAGCATCCTTTTTGTCTTATGAGTAATAATTATAAGGAAAGATATATATATATATATCTATATTTACCTTCATAATGAAGAGTGGCAATCCTCTGTCTGTATCCATTCTGAATGGCTTTAGATTAATTTTGTATCATCTTTTAAAGATCTACTCTCCAGATCATACCAACAACAGCTTTTCATCAAATCCTTCAACTCCTGTTGGTTCTCCCCCTTCTCTCTCAGGTATTGTGGTTCGAATTATACTTTACTGAACAGTTTAATTTTATGAAATAGCAAGAGAATCTTAAAAATACTGCTTTTGGCCATGATCAGAAAGTTCAGTTGCCCCAGAAACAATTTCAGACTGCCATCCATTTAATATTTTGGGAAGATTTGTGGCTTAATAGCAAAATACAAGTATCGCATGAAGATGGTCAAAGATCCCTAGGAAGGGCTTGGAAAGTCTTTTGCTCTACTACACAACTGTGTAGGCTGGTTCCAGGCAATAGGCTAACATGCTTAGTTACACTTTATAACTCAAGGCTGAGCTGCATAGTAAACAGCCCTGATGCTGAAGACGCAACTTGGTTTCTGAACATCTCAACATTCTAGCCCATTTGTTTTGTTTTCTGAATCCATGAGTGTATCACATGGACACTACACAACAGATTGATTAGGCCATGCATAAGGAAGAATTTAACATGCAAATGAACAATAATAATGGGGAAATATTACTGGGCTTACGTTCACCCAGAAGTTAAAGGAAATAGAATATAAAATACATTGGGTTGGATCTAAAATTAGTCAATATGTTTGCCACTTTTGGGGGAAAGTGAATTGCTAAAAGGGAAGTGTGACTATTTCTAATGCAAGGTCTCCTCTTCCATTGTTAAGTTCTTCCTATATTGTGGTCCTGCTCCAAGGGAGATTTCATGGCAAAAACAAAACATTCCCACATGGCATTGGAGAATAAATGTCAAGGTTAAAGAGGCTGAATGTTTAATTCATGAGTAAGCAGGACTTTAGGGGTTTAGCAGACAGTCATAACTTCATGTAGACTACATTTTCCAATCTAGCAAACTCACAGCCTTACTTCCTGCAGTTCAGACAGGCAGGAAGAGAGGAATTACTATCAATTTTTATCTTATCAGCAAAAGGAATACCAATTGACGTTCAAGACAGAATAGTCTGTCTTGTGTCTAGAAAGCATTTTACTTTCATGCAGCAAAGTTTATATGGCTGAGGGACTGATTGTGTGTGTGTGCTTGTGTGTGTGTGTATATGTGCATTATAAATAAATGCAATGGAGAAGAAAAGAAAAATGTTCTGAGGCCATCTAAGTTAAACAGTTATTCTGTAAAACACATCTAATGTCAACAATAATATCTTGACAGCAGAGATTGATATGAATCCTTCTGCCCATTTCCAAAATGATACCATTTTTTTTATTATTATCCCAGAGTGGTAAACTTTCAGTTAAGATCTAAAAAGGATTTCTGCGTGATTAATCCCTTATTTTAGATTTGAAAATTGGTGTTTTGCTTTCATGTATGTTAACCTTGCCCAAACAGGAATGTTGATGTATTGCAACAACATTGTGGGGCTATTGACTGGCTGGGGATGCTGGGAATTGTGGTCAACTGCAAGACACCAAGTTAAGGAAAACTGACGTATGTCCCAATGATTCTTGTTGATGCAAAAGATAGCTGTGCCATAGATGGGCTGGGAAACAGGCTTCTGTCTCCTTAGCTATTCAGAATTTGTGAATTATTTGTATCATACACAGAACTATTTTTTCCAGTATCTAAATTATTATACTTCAGAAACACATTCCGCAAGGAGAGAGTTTTCAAAACTCCACCTGATCCTAGAGTACTCAGTGAGATTTTCTTAGAAAACCAATGCATTACACTGTTGACTCTTGTATTTCATTTTTAAAAGCAGTAAAAATGATGATAGCTGATTGAAGAGAGTTAAATAAAACAGAAAAGGAAACAACCTCTGTTAGTTATAAGAATTTAGAGCTTACATGTTTAGAACCCATATAGGCAACATGCTTCAGCTACTGCATTATATAGAATTAAATGCACAGAACAGCACACTGTATACAGACCAATAGACCAACCAACCAACCTACCCTAGATTAGATTTTTCATTGATCATAATAAATTAAAGTTATTGATAATGCCTTCTGCCATGGCTATACTAGTGGCATTGTCCTACAATTACTATTTTTAAAAACAGTTATGTGAATTTCCACTTGTGACAGCTTGCTTTCTGATGCACAACTGCTAAATAGATGGAATCTTGTATGCTGGCATGCAGTTTGGAGACATGATGTGGCTTCTGGGTGTTGCTGCATAATAAATGTTTGTTTTTAAAGTTCTGCACAAGAGACTTTGTTTAATATGACTGTTGGGAAATCGCATGTACATATCTACAGTATTATTCAGTATCTTTGAAAAGGCATTCTGTTTGCTTAGTTCCAATGGTAACTCCCATTTTACTATTAGCAGGAACAGCTGTTTGGTCTAGAAATGGAGGGCAAGCGTCATCATCTCCCAATTATGAAGGTCCCTTACATTCTTTGGTATGTCTTTCCCTGGTGACCTCCTACCTGTTAATATTTTGCTCTTTTTCATAAACTTTATCAATAACCAGTATGTAGTAAAATATCATACATGGAAATGAGGCATGAAGTCTAGGATTAGCTGTGTAAGGTTGGAATCTATACATGTAAAACAAAAGCAACAAAAAGGTAGGACTTAGCTTTTTTAAAAAGCAAAATCAAGGAGTGACCTAATGAGGGAATGTAAATATAGTACACTGAAAAAGAGGTGTATATGTAAATGGAAATATGAAAAGATAAGCCTTAGTCTTTATAGGGAAAAAAAGGAACCATAATAAGCTTTTCTTAAAATGTACTTCATTAATTTCAGTGCATTGCATACAGGTAGTCCTAGACTTACAACCACAATATGGACCAGAAAATTTGTTGTTAAGCAGTGTAGTTGTTAAACAAGGTGTCACATGACTGCACCTGCTTTTATGACATTTATTGTGGTGATTGTTAAGTGAATCACTGTGGTCAATAAGGGAATCATGCAGTCATTAAGTGAATCATGTGGTTACCCATTGATTTTGCTTGTCAGAAGCCAGCTGGGAATGTCACAAATGGTGATCGTGTGACCCCGGAACATTGCAACCATCATAAATACATGCTGGTTGCCAAGTGCCCAAATTTTGATCATGTGACCATGGGATGCTGTGACAGTCATAAGCATAAGGACCAGTCATAAGTCACTTTTTTCAGCACCATTGTAACTTCAAACGGTCACTAAACAAATGGTCATAAGTCAAGGACTACCTTATATGGGTAATGTGCATGCACTGTAACATTCTTAATATCTTTTAGAATTAAGGTAGATGGAAGGATATACTGCAATTATAGATAGAATCTTTGCTTATATAGTGCATCAAACTATATTAGTCTGTGTAAATTATATTCTGCTACCAAGTGATATTTGCAAAACATCAGTATGAGAGCCATACCAACGGTAATATTTCTGGCAAGAGGTTCCCCTTATATTGGTGTCCTTCAGGTATACATGGGCATCAAAACTGACAAGTCTGCCTTTTAGAGCCTGTGGGCTTAATTAAAAATTTAATTTCAGTTTGAATGTTGGGTTCCAGAATGAAGCCATGGAAAGAAGAAGAGAGAATCCCTATTCCCCCAGGTTAATGACAGTGGCCTGTTACTGGCCTCTTCCCCGTATTGCTTATAGTAGGACTATAAACAAAGCCTGGCCAGAGGAAATGAATAATGCCTTTAATGAGAGCCACTCTGCAAAGAATCACTCAGCTAGTGTCATGAGAAAAGATGCCTTGGATTCGACTTCCTCAAAGAATAAATTTCCACAAATGCCCAAAATGCTGTGTGGCAAAATGTTTCTGAAGCTAAGGGAAGGTCAGAAGCTTCAGTTGTACAGTGATCCTAATATAGAAGCCTCATTCAGAATGGGAATGGGAACATCATCATTTCCATTAAGTGAAAATTAAGTAGTGTTTTTCCACTGAGCATTGCATAATATGTTAAATAAGTATGTTGACACCAGTCTTGTTTTCTATGTGGTTTCAGTAAGAATGATGTAGCCACTTCAGAAGCGTTCTTAGGAATTGTATAATAAAGAATGTTGGCAGAATATAACCAGAGCGCACGTTGCTATACCTTATTTTATCACCTTACGTCTCTCCTTAAAAAAAAAAAAAATGCCCATCAT